GAGAGAGGGGGGGGGGTGCGGCCCGGGCCTTTGCTTATTTATCTGTTTTTAGCCCGCACCCAAAAAAGTTTGGACATCCCTGCTTTAGAGGATCAGGGTTCATTAGCTCCAGAAGATGGCGCACAGGCTACACGCATCAGAATACCACTCCCCCCCGTCCACCCCTCCCTCTATAGACACTCATCAGCATTCTCCTGTTTGTTTTCATTCTGTACAGGCGAGTGGTGCTCTGCAGTTTCCCAACGGAGTCCCCACGTCGCTCCGACAGTCAGGGCAGCAGTGGGACTATCCTAATGCATGGCCTCCATTACAGCACATGCTCATCAGCGGTAGGTGATGAATGAATTATCGGTCACTGAGTTTTCTGAGACCCGTAGCCGTGGAGCACCACCAGCTTGGCTTTCAGTGCATTTCTTTAGGGAAATGCAAAGCTGGGGAATCTGGCACCATGTATAATTTTAGTAGTTTGTATAAAGGCACAAAAAATACTGTATATATAAAAAAAATTAATAACAAATAAAATAAAAATACATATTAATAATATAAGTATACTAATCACTTCCGATCCTTATATAGCAATCCAAAGCTAATTTTATTATTTTAATTTACTCTAGATATTTGTTTTTAAAAAGATTGGAAGATATTAAGTGTTGCAACATTTTTATACCTTCTTTTGTGTCTTTCTATCCTAACCCTGCTCAACCACATGTGTAAACTGGAAACAAATTACCAACCATTCAATTAAGAATATCAACATTTCTAAATTTAAGAAACCACAAAATCTCAACCCAGTGTTGAAGATGATGACAAATGATAATAATCTCCTTCAGGTTTATCTAAAATTCAATCAGCGGAAGCTCAGGAGCTAGCCTTTGATTTGGCCCAGCGCTGGATCAGGACCAACTGGTTGGCGTATGTGAAGTATGAGGCCATGTTTGAAAAGGTGAGTTGAGTTAAAGAGGCTGAACCCAAACTACTGGATCTGTTATATTGATTTTCTTTTTTTAAATTTCTCCTTGACAGTATGATGTGAATGGAGATGGAAAACCTGGTGGTGGAGGAGAGTATGAAGTTCAGGTATTTTCATTTCATCTTTTTTAAACAGAGCACCTAGACACACTTGGTCCATTATTTTGACAAAAAATTCATTTTCCTCATGTGATCATAACTCCACACGTGCAAAAGCACATTTGCTCCTCAATTCTCTTTTGTTTTAATTTTGATTCTAATACATCAGCTTCAAAAAGCCATCTTAGAAACTACTTTGAATGTAAATTGAGGTCAGTAGTGACAGTTTGTCAACATAGACTGTTTATAGCACAATGGGAAATACTCAAGAGGAGACAAAAAGTTTTATTACAAATTGAAATGAAACTTCAAAAAAATTTCTTAGAGTCTTAATACTTTTCAAGGATTGTTTTCCAATTGTAACGTCCTTCTGGCAAAACTTTTGGCTCCGGGTCAAAACCTGTTTCTTTGTTCTCTTAGAGGATTTTAAATTGTGTTCTTTTCAAATGTTGGAGATAAAGGCAGTAAATACCCAGTGTTTTTTAGTAGGTTTCCCTTGAGGGTTTTTGCTGAAGATATAAACCTAAAATTATAATACCAGTCTTAGAACTTTTCCACTGTACTTTATATATGATATGATATATTATATATGACAGACATTTCTCTCAGCTGTTTTACGCAGCATTGAAAGATTGTATCTGTTGATGGATGGCTAGTCCTGTGTGGCTAACAATAACTTACTCCGCAAAGCATCCTTCAAAAAACAAAACAAAGAAACGTAATAGAAAATTAGCTGGATCTCATGTGTAAAAAACAAAACAAAGAAACGAAATAGAAAATTAGCTGGATCTCATGTGTGTCATCGCGGACGGGCACTTTAAAGGCGGTGCAAACATTAGTAGTCGGCTCAAACTTTCTCACTGCTCATTTACTGATGCTTAGAAGAGTTGGCTAAAGACAGAATAGCTCATGGGTGAAGCTAACAGGTGCTGTTCTCCCGGAGATTCTTTTTGTTTTATCATTCGTTTGATTAAAGCTTTTTATAGACGGCTGTGACTCTAAACTCCAACAACTTAATAACTTAGTAATTATATGTTGGGTAAATAATCAAGAAGCAAACATAAAGGATTCAACACAAACAACAACCGACACTAGTATTGTGACCAGAACTGCAATAAAAAAAAAAAATACAATAAACCATTTCCATGCAGTGTTCGAGTTAATGCTTAAGACTAATCTCCACCCCCAGTGTTCAATTTAAATGTCCTTTTCCCAGAAACCCCGCCGATTTGTGCCAAACAGAATTAGAGCCATCTCTAATCAGCTGCTGTGTCGCCCTGTGTGTTTCTATAGCTTGGTTTTGGTTGGACCAATGGGGTGGCCCTGCAGCTTCTGGACCAGTACGGGTCGTCTCTCACATCAGGGAGCCATCAGGTGTCCTCTAGTCTCCTGCTGTTTCTGGTCCTTGTAGCCTTGCTCATGCTTCAGTGCAGCCAACATTATGACAGAGTGTGACTAGAGGTTGGATTTTGTAATTATTTTTCCTCCTGGTTGTCACTGCGCCACATCAATTTGACAAACTAAAAATTATAAAAAAGAATCTGCAGTAAATTGCTGCTTCCTGAATTTTATTAAGTAAGAAGAGGACATTTTCTAAAATGATTAACCTTCCATGTCCAGACTCTGTGTAAATATAATCAGAGCCTTTAATAAAGTGTTTCTCTGTAACAGGTGGTAAACTAAATATTAATATAAACACAAATGTTTGATTTTCTGAAGCATAAATGTACACTGTCTAAATTTGTCTCTAATTTATAAATATTGTTACATGTAAAACAATAAAATAAATAGGTAGGACTAAAATGACTCTGTTGACTAGTCTGTATGTGTCGTGTGGAGGCATGTAGGTATTCATTTAAGTTAAAATTACTGAAAAATATGAATCTATTCAGAGAAGATCTAATTTCTATAAAGAAAAACAATCTTTAAAAGCCATTACATTTTCTCACTATGGTGACATTTTAATAACGGTGCAGGGACAGCAGGAGGATGTTTGTTACACCAGTGAGATACAGTTATACATGAGGGTATTGAATAACCCAGTGTATGTGAAACAACAACGTGTGTGTGTGTATGTGTAGTATATTTATGTATGTATATGCTAACACAGTGGTAAAAAGTGGCTGCTGGGGAACAAAACCAACTTCTGCATATGGCGTAATGCCATAAGTCGACCACTTCCTGTAGATACCATAACTAATTATCACCTGGACCAACAACAGCATCAATGTGTCGATCACACTTCCACCAGCAGAGGCTCTCCAAGTGTTGTCCAGGACTTCACCGTAGGTTGAAACAGGCAGCTTTGACCATGTCCATAATTGTTGCTCTACAGTTTATTCGACCGCACTAGAGATGGATATTTATTGTAGACATAAGGTCACCTTTTTCATATTGCTTTGAATTCCGACATCTTTAAGATACAATACTCAACGAGTTTCAAAACTCGTTTTAAGCAGTAGTGATGGAGAAAAAAGTTGGCAACATTTCACCTCCCTTTTTTTCTGTTGTTGGTGATTGTTCCCAGGAAGCTGTCATTTCTGCCTACATTTACACTGATGTGCAGTTCAAGCATGAAATTAAGGCTGCAGAGATATTCAAAATGGCTGTCCAAAAAAACTGTGATGGGAGAGTTGCTTCTGATTCTCTGATTTGGCTGCGGAGATGCTAAACAATGATTGCGTCTCTCTTTAGCATGAGTGCACACGATAAATTGACTGTGCGGCTTGAAATGAACTGAGGGCCACAGGTACAGCAGCCCATACAACTCTGTAGATCATACAAGGCAGGTTGTTGCTGTTGTAAACCTGGCGACTGTTTATTTTTCCCACACTGTCCATGTGTAGATGTGACTCCTATAGCAGCAGCAGCAGCGGTTGTGTGTGTGTTGTACGTTGTGTTGAGAGCAGTTTAAGCGAGTGACAGCAGTTATGTTTTCGTTCGTGTAACACTGACAGCAGTAAATTATGTTTGCGTTCGTGTAACACTGACAGCAGTAAATCAAGAACAACAGGCTCCTTCAGATAACTCGCTCATAACACTGCTCTTTTAGCAGGAAATTACACTGCGTTCCCTTAATGAGTCAGAGCTGTTAAGTGCTGAGTTAGTCCTGCGTTCATGTTGTGATGAGGAGAATGTACATGTACACAATGTGTGTTTAAATCCTTTCCTATGGCTTTTTCAAGTGCCTGTTTTCCTACTGCATGTCTGCTCTTACCGATGTCCCCGGTTGACAAGTGCATTACATGTTGTTGTGGAAGCAGAGGTCAGTGTGTCTCCTCCTCAGCAGTGATCCAGCTACTGCCACTGCATACAAACTAGACACACACTGACACCAGTACTGACTTGTTTTTCCACGCCTGAACAGCGCTTTTGCTTATTAATACACGCCAAATTCCCAAGGTCGGGCTTGAGAACCTCTTCCAAGAAACGTATTAGAACGGTAGGGAATGATCCTGTTAAATCTAGGATCTCCAACGATGACACTTGAAGGAGTCGTAGCTGATTTTATACGTAAAAAATGCACAAGCCTTGCAAAAAAACACACTCAAAGATATTATGTAACATTGCTGAAATTGTGAAAAAAAAGACCTTGATCTTGATAACCCTAAAGGAAAAAGAAACAGCTTAATTGAATATTATATATAAATAGACACGTCAAAATCTATTCTCTGGATTAAACACATCCCCAGAACGGGTAGACTATTGAAAATGTCCCCTAGAGTTTTATAGCATTTCTTTACAGTTTACATTTTGTTGTACTCTTCCTCTTTGTCTCTTCTCGTTCACAATGACAATAAGGACTATCCTATTCTGTCACAACACACTAGCATTAGAATCAAACCCCCAAGAGGCCTGACCTTGAAACCGCGAATCCACAGGCTGACCCTGTTGAGTAATACTAGCGTGGTCGTGTACCCTAACCTTTAGCCTTTTCGTAAACACATTTTTGACATTTCCGGTTCAGGATTGCTCGGGATTTAGCAACATGAACTAGTCAACGTACAGTAGTCTCTTAACACTAGAAGTCCTGGAATTTTCCAGATCTTTGTGGTCGAAGTTATAATTAGAATTTTACAAAATTAAAATAGCATTGCAAAGCATTTTAGCCTCATGTTTCTGGAGTGACTGGTGCCCTGGTTGAGGTCACCTTAACCCTAATTTGTGAAAAGAGGGGGTTCAGGCTCAGTCGTTGTGTGTAGCGGTGACCTTTAGTTATAAATTACAATATAGTGTTGTTAATCGTGTCTTGCTGTTTGTCCAGAATGAGGTTGAATCCTGCAGTAGAGTTATAAAAGTGGTGCAGGGAACAGAAGAGCGAAGTTCTCCTCTCTGCATGGCTCTCAGCAAAGGTCTGTGCTTCATTACAGTCCTCTGGCTTCACCAGCCCCTGCAGCACACATCATAAAGACTGCTCATTATCCTCTGAGTCCTCGTGGTGCCGCTCAGTCCCACTCGCTGCTGCAGGAGCCCTGCTCCGCTCTGCCAGGATAATCCCCCACCCTAACCACCCACATCCTGCAGTCTGTGAGGACCCACAGTGGGGACATGCAGGGAAACTGCCTCTCTGTTCTCTGATGGTGAATCACAGGGCAGGAGATGATTCCACTGCTAGCAAAGACCCTCATTCAATATTCTTTAATCAATAACTCATTGAGGCCTCATGCCTGTCTTCCCTTGTAATGTATTTCCCTAATTATGAACATTGCCTCCTCTAAAACTGGTTTTCCCCTGGATTTGTGGCTGAATTGTTTGGAGATTGGACTAAGTCCTCGACCTCTAAACTGGAAGGATTGACTAACTGGAGGCATATTACCCACAGATATGAGATAGCTCAGTCATATCGATTCCAGCGCCGTCCGGAGATATCAGGCTCTTTATGATCAATAGTTTTCGAGGAATGGTTCCTATGGAATTTCTGCCGCTAAAGTGGAGATTTTAAAATCCAATCTAGACTAGAAGAAGTCTTCAGTTTGAGAAAATGTAATGTCTGAGCTGATCTGAACTCC